TGTGTGTGTGTGTGTGTGTGTGTGTGTGTGTGTGTGTGCGCGCGCGTGTGTGTGTACGCGCGCGCGCGCGTGTGTGTGTGTGTGTGCGCGCGCGTGTGTGTGTGTGTGTACGTACGTGTGTGTGTTGAACCTGTGAGTCTGTTAAATCGAGCAAATTCTGCGAGATTTTCACGAAAACTCTATTGACTTCTGTCTGACTTTCCGCACTACTCGCCGAATGAATCGAGTCCCGCGATGAAAGCATGTACGCAAACGCAGACGACCAGATGTAGAAGAAAAGAGGAGGAGAGGGGGAGACACGGAGTGGGAGAGACATGAGATTTGTTACATTTATGAAGATTTAAAATGTTTGAGGTTACAGTTAGGGTAAGGGTTAAGGAAAGGAGGGTTGGTATGTCTGACTGTCAGTCTGTCTGTCTGACTGTCAGTCTGTCTGTCTGACTGTCAGTCTGTCTGTCTGACTGTCAGTCTGTCTGTCTGTCAGTCAGTCTGTCTGTCTGTATTTCTGTCTGTCTGGGTTTCAGCGATCTCACAGTGAGCGTCGTATAATAAAGAATAGCAGCTAAATACTGAGACTCGAACTCAACGTTATTGCCTCTTTCTTTATTCTACGTTAACGCAAAGCGTAAACCCACAGCAGTTGAAAAAAATCCCGTTTAGGTAAATATCGATATTTCTACGTCAACACTTCGAAAGGGTTTTAGCCGCAGTGCACGCCACGCAACGATCATCAACGCACAGAACACGCGCGATCTCGGTGGGAGGCGAACCCACGCACAAACACAGACACACATGCACCTCTCAGCGACAAGCACACACGACACACACACGCAGCGAGGCACACACACGTCCAACATACATAATACCCCCCCCAACCTACACACACACCACCGACCGCGGCGGCAACTAGCACACACACACCCAACACACAACGACCACACACCACCCACACATAACACACACTCACACACAGGTCAAGCACGCACGCCACTGAACATTCCACAGCACAACAACACAACGTACACACTCTAGCGCACAGCGCCACACATCACACATCTACCGCGCGAGCGAGCGAGCACACATACACTGGCAGCGACACACAGCACACATCCACCCACACACACACACCACACACACAGCACACACACACAATCACGATCACACAACACGACACCTCAACAAGGACAACTGCCAATACGCACACAGCTCCACCGCAAACGCACGCCAATACACAGCCACATAAACACGCCCCACCACCACACACATCATCACTCTCGAATATGAAGCCAAAAACGAAGTACGGCACCGACAAGCTTGCCGCGGCCACACAGCGAGACAAAACCAATCGCAACCCACCCACGACACGAGCGATCGCACGCATACAGCTACCACCACACGCCGACGGCGCACCACGCAACGCACGCAAACACACGCACAACTACGACACACACGCACCACGACCACGCACACGCGCACACACACCACACACCAACACAATGCACACACCCAGCACACACACACCCTGGCCCAACAACCAGCGTCATCATCCTTACGCACCGGATCGCCAACAACACTCCCGGCTCGCGCAGCCAGCCAGCGGGCCGCAAGCGACGAACAGAGCCAGCAGCACAAACAGGCGGCTGCAAGCAAAGCACACAACTAGTAGCAGCACACAGCAGAGTAATAGCAGCACAAGCACAGTAAGCAAGCAGTAGTAGTACACACAGCAGCAGAAGCAGCAGCCGGCGCAGCAAATTAGCCAGCAGCACCACCGGCCAGACATCAGCATCAGCAAGCGACGGCAAAGCGACGGCAGCGCGCCGCGCATGCAATGTGTGCCGCGATTGCAAGTCTATTTGTGACATAACGACACGGAAACGAATAAAAAAATTCACGCTCAGCGAAATCTTCCTAAAGTTCGGAAAGTACGGCGCACCACGAGAAAGCCGCATCAGCGAAAGAAAGTATACGAAAAGGAGAGAGAGAGAAAAGAAGGAAGAGACAAAGAGAAGCAAGAAAAGAGAGAGAAAAGGAAAGAGAGAGCGAGAGAAGCAGAAAGAGAGAGAGAAAGAGAGAGAAAGAGAGAAAGAGAAGAGAGAGAAGAAGAGAGAGAGAGAGAGAGCAGAGAAAAAGATAGATAGAGATAGTCAAGAATGAGAGAAGAGAGCAAAAAAAGAAGAGAAGAGAGAGGAAAGGGATGAGAGAGAGAGAGAGAGAGAGAGAGATGGAGAGAGAAGAGAAAAGAGAGGGCGAAGAGAGAGAGAGAATAGAAAGAGAGAGAGAGAGAGAAAGAGAGAGAGAGAAAGAGAGAGAGAAAGAGAGAGAGAGAAGAAAAGAGAGGAGAGAGAGACGAGAGAGAGAGAGAAGAGAGAGCGAACGAACAGCANCTCCTCTCTCACATCCCCGCACGCCCGGAAGGAGGTGTGTGTGTGTGTCACTTACCTTCCTCTCTCACATCCCCGCACGCCCGAGAGGTGTGTGTGTGTGTGTCACTTACCCTCCTCTCTCACATCCCCGCACGCCCGGGAGGAGGTGTGTGTGTGTGTCACTTACTCTCCTCTCTCACATCCCCGCCGAACACACGCCCCGGGATGTAGGGGCAGGGGATGGCAAGGGAAAGGGGGAGGCTAGAGGAGGAAGCGACAACATTCGCAGCGTGATTCCGCCGTCTTCCTTCGTACCGCCACCGACGTACAGTGATGCGTATAGCACTCGAGTAAGAGGAAAAGGAGGAGGAGGAGGAGAGGAACATTACAGAGAAGCCATAAAAGGATCCATCAGGTCCGTAAACGTCACCAAGTTTGCGTAAGCGGAAAGAGTGGCTTTCGTTTGCAAATGTTTGGGATGTCGTCGGTGGAGAGAGTGAGAGCACGAACTTCTGCTATGTATATATATATATATACTATTAGGTATATATAATATACAATCAGGAGTTAATAAAAGACAAATTTTGTCCTTTATTAACTGCCTGATATAATATTGCGTTTTGCTCAGAGTGACGGGCTGGCATGAATAAAGTTGACATCTTGCTTTCAGACGATGGTGCTCTTTCTGGCGGCCTCCCGCTGCTTCGGCCGATTACCTTCACCCGCAGTTCTAACCCGTTCTGTCGACTTCTCATTTCTCATCCGTCCTCATAATTGCCTTGCCTCAGACTTTCGCCCGGTCCGCTCTCAATTCTTTCCAATTTGACGCTCTTGGCCGCGGCATCTCTCTTCTCTCATGTCGAGCCCTCGCTTTCAGTTCGTCCGCTAACATCTTTCGTCCTCTCATCTTCCTGCCTTTCGTTCTCTCTCTCTCTCTCTCTCTCTCTCTCGTGTGCGCGTTTACTAGCTCGTGTTTGTTCTCTCTCTATTCCACACTCTTTCCTCAAACGTATTCCTTACCATCACGAAGTGCCGCTTTCCACGAAAGCAGCAGTAGCACCAGCAATAGCAGCAGAGCAGCACTCTCCCCTTCTCCCCTTTTCCCTCACTCTCTCCCCGCCCTCCCTCTCTCCCCCTCTCCCGCTGTACGCTCACTGGCTGCCGACACGCGGCGGGATCGTACGCTGCTATGCTAATCCTCGTCATCGGTTATCGGTTTTCACATAACAGTTGTTACAAGCTGGTGGCTCAGCAAATAATGCCGTCTGCTATATCTATGCCGGCAGCAGTGGTAGTAGCAGTAGTGTAATAGTAGCAGCAGCAGCAGCAGCAGCAACATCAGCAGCATCAGCAGAAGTAGTAGTAGTAGTAGTAGTAGTAGTAGTAGTAGTAGTATAGTAGTAGTAGTAGTAGTAGTAGTAGTAGTAGTAGAGTAGTAGTAGTAGTAGTAGTAGCAGCAGCAGCAGCAGCAGCAACAGCAGCAGCAGCAGCAGCAGCAGCAGCAGCAGCATTAGTAGTAGTAGTAG